CCCAGGCCAAGCTCCTCCTTTCTGACCTCTGTTGCCATAGATGAGCTTGTCTGTTTTTAAACCTTATACTAATGGAACTAGAAAGTTTGTATTCAGTATTTTTTTTTAAGATGCATCACTATGACTGCTTATAGCAGTTGCTTGTTAATTTTTATTGCAAAATACTGTTCCACTATATGCTTTGGGGAAAATAACACCATTTCTGTTGGTTTAAAATTTTTTTTTTTTTTTTGGTTTTAATTTTTAACTTTTAGCCATTAGTTATGTTTCTGAAGAATTTTTTGCCTTTAAGGAGTGCTAATTTTTCACAGCATAAGTATTATAAATTGAGTTCTAGTCATAAGACTGCAGTTGCATTTAAAATGTGTCTCACTTTATATAATGCTATAACTGAAAACTTAGTAGTGCTGCAATAACTTGTTAAGTGTTACAAATGATCTATCCAGAGGTTGAAGTTTTGATGGAAAACTTAATTATCAGTTGTATCCTATAGCTTATTTATTGCTGTTTTGATTGTAGATTTTTTTTTCATCTATGTGCTTATTTTTGCAGGAATCAGTTAATATAGAAATCAGTAATTTGTTTTATTTTGACTTGCTTTAGTGTTAGAAAACTGTAAAACCAATTCTCCAGTTTTCTGCAGGTAGTTATTTTTTATTTATTTGTTTTTGAAGCCAAATCAATGCCTGTAATTTTTGGTAGCTCGTTTAAATCTATAACTTGGAAGTTCATTGAAACAGTTAATAAGGTCACTGAGGAGATTGTATTTACTCTAAGTATTGATTTACAGATAGTTATAATTGCTTTGATTAAGAATTTTAAAACGAGGTCTAGACAAAAATGCAGTTGCATTGTTGTTAGATTTCTCCTCTAGTTTATGTAAACACGAGGCTGTGCTGCCCTCTGCCTGTTGCTAGCCCACCAGAAATCGAAGTAGAATTTGGACTCTGAAACTTTCTGCCGTGAAACTGGTTTTTAAATATTTGATTTCGTACTCCTTAGATTTGTAATTTGTATGTTGGAAAATGGTAATAGGAATCTATGGAGCGATTTCTCAAATTTGAAAGTTTTACAAGGTGAGGTGGAAGGTCTTTTTAACATTGGTAATTGTGGATTTTAAGTGAATTTGGAGAATACCTGTGTACATGTTACAGTGCTACATTGGTGATACTAAAAATGTTCTGATTAGTTAAATCAGGTTGGTAAAACAAATGAAAGTAACTTTATTTGGGGAAAACATCTGGGAAATCAGGTGAATTACTGGCTCTGTGCTGGTGGCAGGATGCAGAGCATCCCAGGAACCCTGAGACTCAGCTAACAAGCCGGCGGAGGGCCAGGAAGAGTGTATGCCGACCTCAGGGCCGTGACTTCCAGAGAGGTCTGTACAAGTGAACGATCTGGTAAAGCTGATGGATCAGAGCCCTGCTTCTCACAGTGGACGTGCGGCCAGGTCACCTGGAGCTCTTATTAATCAGACCTCCCACATTCTGATCCCTAGGTCAGGGGTAGGGCCCGAAGGTCAGCATTTCTCAGGAGCCCTCAGCTAATCCATGGCTGCTCTGAGCAGCAGGTTCAGAGACAACAATACTACACCCCTTTCCCCAACACGTGTGACATGAAGCTTACCTCACTGGCCACCCCTGCCTGCACTGACCCCCTCAGCTCTAGGCCCACTGGCCTCCTTGCTGCCACATCCTGTCTCTGAGCCTTGGTGCTTGTGGTTCCCTCCGACATCCCTGTGGCTCCTGACTCCTCCAGGTCTCTCCTTTCAGTGTCACCATATCAGAGAGGCCTCCCCGATCCTGTCCCTCGTCACCTCTGTTCCTCTCACCTTTCCCATCCCGTTTTTAAATTTCTCAGCAATCCCAACCACACTGGATGTCCTAGGAAGTTGCCGGTTCGCTCTCTGCTTCCTTCTCTTTGCTCCCTCGTGAGCGTTGGCTTCACGAGGTCAGAGGCTCCGTTCTGCTTCCTGCCATGTCCGCAGACCTGCAGTGCTGTCTGCCATGCAGCAGGGCCCCGTGAGTCTTTTCTGAGCAAGCTAATAATAGGCGATCAGGTAATTTAGTTGCTGTCTTTCCCACTAGGAGAGTTCGTCACAGAATAATGAAATTTCGCTTGACTTTCTAATAGCTGCTGTCTTAATAGTTGCGTTTCATTTTCATCCTTAGTAACCTAAACATTTGATTCCTATAGTTTCTGATATTTACTTGGCAACTTTGATTTAAAAGCATTGCTTAGCTTATTCAGCTCTTAGACTTTCACGCAGTTAATGATTACCTTTAAGTAGTTATCTGTGGAATAAGTCACAGTCAAGCCTTTCTTAATAAAGACAGCGAGCAGCCAGAGCGGCAAGCTCTGCCCGGCGATGTTCTCTGTCAAATTTTAATCCGTTTTATTTTCTTAGTTGATGCAGAGAATCCTGTCACGAAGATGGNTGATGTTCTCTGAGTGTCAAATTTTAATCCGTTTTATTTTCTTAGTTGATGCAGAGAATCCTGTCACGAAGATGGAATTGTTGAAAGACACAGTTCTTTCAGTTTAAGTCACTTGATTTAAGGTTATAAAACACATAATACTTCATTTGTGCCTGCTGACTTTATGCTAATTAAGGATCAGTCTTCTGTGAGAGTCCTAGAACTATTTTAAATATATTGAAGTTCCCCTTTAAAATACAAATAAAACCAAATCAAAACCAATTTCTGTTCAAATCAGTCTTTAGTTGTACTTGACTTAGTGTTACTGAGAGCAGCATGTGCTTCCTGGGCCCTGGGGTGTGTGCTCAGCTGTGATGGGGAAGTGTCCTCAGGAGTTCATTGTGTTTGGTGATTTGTGTGCACCTGTGCAGAATACGTAGCGAAAGAGGCCTCATGCCTTCAGTTCGGTGGCAGAGGTAGAAACAAGGCGCAGGCTGGGGGGAGTGGTTCTTGGCGTCGGGATACGGAAGAAGGAGGCACCCTGTCACCCAGGCTTGAAGGGAGAGGTAAGGTTTGGACTTAAGATACTCTGGGCAGAGAAAGGTGGTATTGATTGAAGCCACACACATAGATGGGTGTTTTAGGGAATAGTTTTCTTTAGAAAAGCATAGGCTTTGAGATAGAGAATTATTGAAAAGGAAAGTTGAACTCTGTTTATAGTTTACCATGTTTATCTAACATGTTTTTTTAATTAATCTTTTTTTCAATTTATCCAGGCAAGCCACTTTCTACCAGAGTCTATGTCAGCAGCATTATTTCTAGTTTGCCTGGACCTGCCTCTTTCTTTGGAATATCCGAACATTCATGAAGCTGCTGTGGCCTACTTGGAACAGCTGAGCTCTGAAAACTACAGTCTTTATAAACAAGCTGCAGAGGCCGTCTATTCCATTGAGTGCACCTGTAACTTCCTGTCTGACGTTGCGAAGGAGGTAGACAGCTTTATTAATATCCCTTTTAAATTTCTTTGATGAAATATTTGGAAAGTGTAACCTATACTTTTCAAATTGAGGGACATATAATTTGAATTGTTATAAATAGGATATACTATTACTTAGTGGGTCAGTTAGAGTAAAGTTAGGATATGACTTGTATAAAAGTAAAAGTTTAGATTACTATGAATGGTGTATATTCATGAAACCAGTGGTATTAAAAAATCAGTAATTATTCTTAGTGTCTTTGTATTTAACAGTGAGTTATCTTTGAAGCAGTGTTCTGTGTATGAAGAGTAACATGACGTAAGCAGGATTCTCAGGGCCATTTTAGTGCTTGCTTGTAGACACTTTTCTTTAATATTTTAGACTCTTATTTCCACACAGAGAGCCTGATATGGCTGTTAAATAAAATCATGAACTAGATTGGAAGGCATAGGATGCCCTTAGGCACATTGTTATAGCAATAATTATGTATTGTTCCTATACCTTTTAGAGATACTAGTAGGATGTTCTTTAGTGTGTTATCAGTGAAAGAGTTAATGCGTCTTAAAGTAGACGTTGACTACAATAATAGCTTATTGTCTGAAAATACTAAATCAGATCCTAAAGATCTTGAAAAAATTGGGACAAATTTTTGTTGTTGTTCCTAGCAGTGGAGTCTGTCAGAAGCTTGTATTTCTAATTTTTCTTTGTTTATCCACTATTGTTTTTTCCCTCTCTTTTCTTTTTGCCATATCTTGATGCCATTGGCTTCTTGTTTCCTCTAGGTAGAATTTTGAATTGTCTTTAAGTTGAATTATTTGTGTGGCTTTCCGCATTGTCAGTCAACCACACATGTATTGGTTGTCCTCATGTTCTCAGAACCTGTCAGGATGTTAGAAGCGGGAGGTGGATCCTAAGGATACAAGTCCTGCCTTGAGCCACAGTTAGTAGGGTGATAGGGCTACAAACAAGTAGTCAGTGGACCTGGCCACGCGCTTGTAAGTTTAAGCCTGCCCAGAGGTAAATAATAGACGGCCTCGTGTGGCATTCGATAGGGATTCTCCCACGTTTCCTCCTGGAATGACATTTTTAGGTGCTTGTTGAAAAAATGGACTTAAAATGTGAGCAATCTCAGGGCCTCTGAATACTCTTAATTTTATTAAAGCTGCTTAGTTAGCTGTGGAGACTTTTGTTGTACATGAACTTGACATTTGCTGTTTTGTTCTGATTTTTCTTTTTAGGAAGAGAAGAATCTTTTAGAACTAGTGGAGCTGGCAGACCACGCCTTGCGTAGCTTTTCCTATCATCAGCATTCCCCCCTCATCAAGGAAATCATCTGCCTCTGTTCAAAGATGTAATATTTTCTTTCTTAATATAATTATGTTATAGGATGTGTGTGTATGTGTGAGAGAGAAATTAGAAGCAATGAAGATGAAATTGGTCTTAAATCTTGTTATTTCTATTTTTTAAGTTTAAATTGCTTTTATGTGTGTCTGACCTTTAAACATATATGTACAGCTGCATTAGGACAGTTGACTGTTTTATCCAAGAGTAAACTTTTAAAATGTCATGATGCAAAGTGAATTATCCTTGCATTTTATACATTTGTTTTGGTACCTATTCAAACCAGGTAGTCAGCCATATTTGTTTACTTACTTATTTATCTTTAAAATTTTAATAACTTAAATTGAGTGGTTTTTCCCCCCATAAGTTTTATTACTTTCTACCTTTTGCTCATGGATTTTTGGAAGGCATCACACATTGGTTAATTTATTTGAGGGACATCGGAGCAGATTCTTATTAGAATTTAGCATTTTCATTATTGTTGGAAAGAGCAAATTCCATGGTGTGAAATATCAATTAAATGTGGGTTTTTATCATTTATTTGTCACCTCACAAAATTACCATTTTGTTCTGGTGCCATTTAAGATCCTCTCTATTAACAAACATCAAGTCTACAGCAGGATCATTAACTGCAGTCACCATGCTGTCCATTAGATCCGAGAACTTGCTCCTCCTGCGTAGCTGAGACTTTGCAGTTTCGGCCACCATCTCCCTGTTCCCTTCCCCAGGAAGTTACATCCTGCTTTCTGCCTCTCTGGATTGGTCATTTTAGACCCCCATGCCAGTGAGGTCACCTATCTTTATCTTTCTGGGTCTGGCTTATTTCACTTGTTGCAATGTAACAAATGGGAGGAGTTCCTTCTTTTTTTTTTTTTTTTTAACATGTTTATTGGTTTTTAGAGAGAGGAAGGGAGAAGGGTTTATAGAGAGAAACATCAGTGATGAGGGAGGAGCATCATCAACCACTGCCTCCTGCACGCCCCCCGCCGGGGAGCGAGCCCACAGCCGAGGCATGGGCCCCGACTGGGAATCCAACTGTGACCACTTGGTTCCTGAGTCGACACTCAACTGCTGAGCCCCGCCCCCAGGCTTCCTTCTTTTTTTAAAGCTGAATAATATTTTATTGTGTGTATATATATATATTTACACACACCGTATTTTCTTTATTCATTCATCGACTAGTGGACACTTGGATTGTTCCCATATATTGACTATTGTGAGTAATGTTGGAATGAACATGTGTGTACAGATCTCTCTTCAAGACATTGATTTAATTTTCTTTGGATCTGTATCCAAAGGTGGGATTGCTAGATCCATGGCAGTTCTATTTTTAATTTTTTGAGTGACCTCCATATGTTTTCCATGATGGTTGTACCAATTGACATTCCAAGTATAGGTTTTTAAAGCCATTTTGGGTGTTAGTATTCTTTGAGAGAACATTCCCTGCCTTGAGTCACGTGTGTCCTTGGGCAAATGCTAGTATTGGATTAGTTAAATATGATCCCCGTTAGAGGAATTGGAATAGGAAGAAATTCCTTCCATAGTGCTTTTCAACTTCTTTTGTTTGGTAGTTTCCTTGCCTTAGATGTTGTGCATGTTTTATCTTTTTACTAGCTGGAAATCAGCACAGGCTAGTCCATTACTGCAAGGGGAAAGTCAGAAGGTGTTTCTGCGGATGTTGTCTCACCCATTACTACAAGTGAAAGTTGAAACTTACCACTGCTGTCTGGAAATTGTTAAGGTGGGTTTTCTGTTTTATGAACTAACAGTGGATTTTCCTCTTATAACTCTAAGATTAAATAACTTGACATTTTGGATGAGATGGAAGAACTATTGCCATAAAAATAGTGGCAATTATTAGTCAAACCTAAGAAATTTGTACTGTTAAATTACTTTAACTGAGTAAGTCTAGCAATTGAATTGCTTTATTAGAGGTTTTAGTAAGAATTACATTTATATTGTGTTATTTAGTGATGGAAAATTTTAAGGAAAAGTACCAGGTATTTAAACGTGATCTTTATGCTCAGGAAAAGTTTTAGGTTATGGCTTAAATTGTGTAGTTTCAGGTCTGTTTTCTTAGTAATATTTTTCTTTTAAAACATACTTGTTTTCTGTGTTTTTAAATTATAAAACAATTCAGCATAGAATAGTGCATAGAGTATTAAAACTATTCAATGTTGAAAAATATATGCTTCTCTGTACTCTTGAAAATGTCCTCCTTTATTTAACACTTGTATGTACTATCTATATATAATAGATGTTTACATTTTGCTGTTTTTACTTCTGATTCTTTTTTATTCAGAGAAATAAAACTGTTGCAGTTACAACAGAAGCTTCTTTCCTTTCTCTTCCCCCTTCCTTCTTGAACCAGGATAACCACATTTATAAAGTTGGTGTTTTTCCTTCCCATCCATTGTTTTATATATTTTTACTATATATGTATGTCTTTAAAAATACTGTCTATTGCCTGGCCGGCATGGCTGAGAGGTTGAGCATCAGTCTCTGATCCAGGCGATTGTAGTTTGATTCCCAGTCAGGGCACATGCCCGGATTGAGGGCTCCATTCCCAGTAGGGGGCATGCAGGAGGCAGCAGATCAATGACTCTCTCATCATTGATGTGTCTGTCTCTCCCTCTTCCTTCCTCTCTCTCAAATCAATAATTAAAAGAGCATTAAAAAAAATACTATATATTATTGTTTTATATTGTACATATGTTTTTGTTGCCTATTTCTTTCATGTAATAGGATTTGAGATCTACCTGGTTCATTCATTTTAACTGCTCTTTAGTTTGAATATTCTTTATTTTATTGATAAATATTTAGGTTCAGTCTACTTTTTACTGAAATAAGTTTTTCAGTATCTTCAATGACAGTCTATGACTAGTGGTACATATGTTTGAAAACATCTTGGCTTTACCTTACGTTTGACTGATAGTTTATTAACCTTATCTTGAATGATGTTTAGCAAGGTATAGAATTATGGGTTGACTGCTGTTTTTCTTTTGCTCTTTGTGATACTGCTTTGTCCTTGTTGTCATTGTTGAGAAGTCTGCTATCAGTTAGTATAATTGCTTTGTATTTTTTTCTCTAGTTGGTTTCACGATTTTTTTCTTATCTCATTACAATGTGTCTTTGTATACATTTTTTAAACTTACCTCGTTGAGCACTCTTGGATCAGAAAACTCATGTCTGCCCTCATTTCTTGGCAATTCTCAGTCATTATTATTTCTCTTAGCCTTGCTATTCTCTCCAAGTGGAATGCTCATGTTATGTTATGGTCTATGTTAGACCTTCTTATTTTACCCTTTGTGTCTTTTAAACCCTGTTTTATGTTTTTCCATATCTCTTTTTGTTTTATTTGGATGGAATTCTTCAGTGCTGTCATTCAGTACATTATTTATTTCTTTAGCTATGTCTGATTTGCTTTCTAAAAATTGTGGTAAAATGTACATAACATAAAATTTACCATATTAATTTAAGTGTACAGTTAAGTGGCAGTAAGTACACCCACATTGTTGTGCAACCATCAGCATTCTTCATCTCCTGAACATAACTCCTTTTCCCAAATTGGAACTCTGTCCCCATTAAACAGTAAGTCCTCATTTCCCCTCTCCTCATGTCCTCACAACCACCATTCTACTTTCTATCGGAATTTGACTATTCTAGGTGCCTTATATTAGCGGAATCATGTATTTTGTGTGTATCTGGTTTATTTCAGTTAGCATAGTATCTTCAAGGTTCATTCATGTTATAACATAGATCAGAACTGCATTCCTTTTTAAGGCTGCATAATATTCTGTTGTTTGTATGTACCACATTTTGTGTATCCGTTCCTCTGTTGATGGACGTTTGGGTGAGTTCCCTCTTTAGCTGTTGCAACCAGTGCTTCTGTGAACATCAGTGTACAAATATCTGTTTCAGTTTCTGCTTTAATTCTTTTGGATATATAGTTTATTATTTATTTTCTTTATGTCTATCATTATGAACAATGTAAGAGATTTGGTTGCCTCAGCAGTTTGTTAATTTATCAAGGCTGCTTGTTGGCAGAAGGTATGTAATTTTTCATGCAGACTCCGACACTTGGGCGAGAGTGTCTTCCATCCTCCTGAGGCAGAAGTTTCAGGGAAGTGTGAAGATGAGTTTTGGAATTGAATCTTAAACAGAAGAAAGAGGGATCCTTTTGAAAAGTCAGTGTCACTAATTTTTAAAAACCCTTCGTTGTATTTTACAGGAATGTCTAGGTGTCCATAATGTCACTAAGCCGGTGTCCTCACTCTGCAGTGGAATTCATTTTCTACTCCACCCAAAAGTCCTGTACGAAATCTCTGCGTTTGGCATTCAGGAGCCCAGAAATGAGGTATGGCATGTTACAGGTAAGTGCAAGAAACTGTAATTCTTTAAGCACTCAGCTAACTCAAGGTAATACCCTAAGATGACTGGGGAGTATGACGAGAAACGAAAGAAACTTGTCTTTGATGTATGAGTCCAGTCAAGTTGTTTGTTTAAATAAAAACAACTGCTGAAGAAAATGTGAGAATCAAAATACAGAACAGATGAAACTGTTGACTTATGCTTTTCATGTAAGACATAGAGAACGATACAGTAGTTCTAGTTAGCAGGTGGTTTGATCGAGGGACACTTACTCAGTGGAGGAATATATCCTAAGGGTAAAGGAAAGCCTGAGGGGAAAGACTGGCTGAGAGCACAGTGTAAGGTGATGCTGCAGAAGTGGGGACACTTGAGGGATGAGGTGTTACTCAGAGCATCTTTCAGATTTTATCAGTGTTCCAAGGGCATCCGGCGCCTCAGGCCTCCTAATTTTTGAGTATCTTGTCTGTGTTGTTGGGCAGGTGAGCGCTGCTGCCAAGGCCATCCTGCTGTACCTGCTGCAGGGACGGTTGATGATGACCGCTCTGACCTGGAGCAGGTTTATCGAGTCCCTGTGTCCCGTCATCCCAGTGCTGCAGGTACATGTGCGTCCGTTTCCGATCCCGTTTATCTTTGAGTATGACAGACTGAAACTCGTGCACCAGGTGGGACTGTCATGTGAGATAAATGAAGACAGGCCGCGCAGGCCGTGGACACGTGCACAGGAAGTGGTGGCTGTTTTGTTTCTGGTAGAGGAGCCAGGACAGCTCACTGATGTTCACCTGTGTAGCTGGGCAGGATGTTTAGAGTGGGGTGCTGGCACTTAGCAGTGACGGGAGAAATAGAATCAGCCTATGTGAAGGCTTTTGGGCAAAGCTAACTGCCTTTAAGCAGACTTTCCTTAACTAAACTTGTTGCATGAATGATTTCCACGCACATATGTAACTAGAGTTTTCCTTTGGTTAATGAACTCTGGAAACAGTGTTTTTAGCAGTCCTTGAGGGCGGTAAAGGAGTGAGGGAAGTTCAGGCCCCTGCTCTCCTTGGAGGAGAAGGTACAGGTGGGCAACACCCTCATGGGAATAGTCTTGTAGAACAGGCGCCGGGGCCCTGGGCTGTGAGGCTCACTCGGTTGGGTTCCACGCAGGTGTGCGTGCCACACTGCACCTGTGTCCAGTGGGGACAGGTCTGCAGACCTGGGGGGCCCCATCTACTAGAACCCGGGACACAACAAAGCTAGCAGGCGTCCAGTGGGCTGGTGTGTTTTCTCACAGGTCTCCAGTATTGTCAAATCCAATTGCAGGCAGGCTTCTTACCTCCTGTAGGTTATTTGAAAAGTGACTTTTCAGCTGCATTGAAAGAAATTTATGAGTTGCCTGACAGGTCAATGCAGTTCTTATTTTCAAGTTAGAAAATTAAGCAGTGCATATAAAATCAGGATACTTTCCTTTTTGATGGAATTGCTAGGGCTACGCGGACCCTGAAGACCCCCTGGGGAACTGCATTCTCCTCCTGAGCAAGGCGAGCCCTGAGGGCGGCGCGGGCGGCCTCCCCGGCACCATGCGCCTCAAGTCCCTGCTGCGGCTGCTGCTCGTGAAGAAGCCATCGTGAGTACCACCGAGGCACTGACTGGAAGGTTAAGGGGACAGTCTAAGAAAGTATAGTGTAGTCATTACCTCAGCCTGAGACAGAATAGGACTGAGGAAGGTACAGAAAAGCGGTTCTTTTATTAGACAGGGAACCAGTGGGTGAAGCTACAAGCAGATGGGTGCTTTCCAGAAACATCCATCCATCCCAGGCGCGGTGATCAGATCTGTGTCTGGTGTAGTTGCCCCTCCTGGTGCTGTTGGTAGTACTGTGGGCAGGTCGGGAGACACGGAGATCAGTGGACGTAGGAGTTACAGAGCATCTCTTTGCCTGCTCTCCTTAGACATGATTAGCCTGGAGCTATTCTTTCTAAATGTCTGTCCTGAAAACTGAGTGTTTCATGAAGGTGCAGTGGACCAGTTGCTACGTACACCAGTGTGCAGGTGGTTAGTGTTGCCCGGCTTGTCTTTGTACGTGGGAATCCGTGTCCTTTCCTGCACCATTACTGTTGGTGTTACTTTACTAGAAAAGCAGGAGAAAGGTGGGCTCCTCCACCTCCGTCGGTGATATGATGTTGGTTATTAGTTACTAGTTATCCATGTGATGGCCCCTGGAGGCCTGACCTCACAATGACTCTGCTCCAGGGCCTGGGGCCATTGTTATGTTTGAGGACCATCACTGGACTTGGTGCTGGAGCTTAGATTTAACCAGCAGATTGACTTTCTGAAGTCAAATGGGATGGTGACTGAAGTTCACAGTGATACTCACTGAAGTTCACCGTCTCCATGAGACTGTTTCTCCATTTGTAATTATTATTCTTTATTTCGATGTTTATTAATAAAAACATGGAAAGAATGTAGTTTTACACTAAATATTTTAACAGAAAAAGTAGGAGGGTATCCATAATGTCAGCGTAAGCATGTCTGATTGCTGTGTTGATACGTAGAGATTTGTCATGTTACAGAAGGTTTGCATGTTCCAGAGGTTGCCATCATCTGTGTGTCCACAGGGTCCGCTCTCTGGCACTGAAGCTGTTAGCCTGTCACCTCACCAGGGAGGAGGGGGCTGAGAGGAAGCGCCCCACAGTGGACGCCAGGGTTCTTGCCAGAGCGACTAACCTATTCATCGTGAAAAAACCCATTGAACTCAAGCTGGATGACAGGAGAGAGCTGATTATTAAGGTGACTGTGACTTTCTTTGATACACGTGTAGACCACGTCTTACGTTTCATTCTCTGGTTTGCATTGTGCACCAGAGGGGGAGATGTGTGGTCATTCAGGGCTGCTTTGAAATTGTGTTCTGGCTTTATTTCGCTCCCGGATACATTTATTTACTGAACAGATGCATTTCTTGAGCACCTACCAAATGCCAGGCACTGTGTCCCTTTTCATTTAGCACATACACTGGAAACAGTTAACTTGAACAGTATCTTAAGGATGACGTAAGGCTAACCTTGTGGAAAGGAATTCTGAGGTGACTCTTAGAACAATATGTCACTGACATAAAGCCATTTAGAATTCCTGTTCTCATGTTGGCAATTGTCTCTAAGGGCAAAAAAGAAAAAGTTCCTGTGATTAACAGTTTCAGCCTCTTCATCATAAGAGGGAAAAATGGGGGGGGCAAAGGCAGTTTCTCCTTTACATGTAGAAGCAGCCGCCAAGCCTGTGGTGGAGCGTAGACCACATGGAGTACAGTTGAGGCAGGGTGCTAAGAAGCTAGGGAAGTTCTTGGCAGGTGGAGACTGAAACATGCAGCTGATTCGTACTGGCCCGGTCCAGCACCTTGACTCACCCGCCGCCTCCTCCCTTGAAGGACAACTCCCTTGATTATTAAGCCCTCAGGACAGTGAGGTTCTGATCAGCATCAGAGAATCTTAGGTACAAAGCCTCAGGTCTGTTGACCACAGAAGAGTTTTAAAATGGAAACACTTTAGTAAGGGATGTTTTCGGTGAAATTCTTTAGGTGGCTAGTGGGACACAGTGACTTCCTAGCAAAAATCTCCGTTAAGAGGCTTGTTTGACACCATGGCTCTGTGTTTGAGATCCTAAGTTCCTCTCTGTTCTCGCACGTTAGTTTTGAAAATTTAAATGTAAATATGTCATTTACATAAGTTGACTTTTCGAGCTTTTGTTCTTAGGGTGTGAGCTGTAAAGTGTTCTGGTAGAATTGGAAGTAGATGAAAAATTTTTCTTTTGGCTTGCAGTTGGAGACTGTTGAAAAGGTGTACGAAATCTTCGTCTCAGATGATGTCGACCTTGTTTTGAGGAAGTCAGCTGCGGAACAGCTCGCTGTGATCATGCAAGGTAATGTCTGGTTGCTGTGTGGGGCTGGCAGACTACTGCCGCCAGACTGGCCTGTCTTTTTTACAGCCCTTAAGTTGAGAATGGTTTTTACATTATTAAAGGGTTGTTAGCAAAAAACAAAAATGGAAACAAAGAATGTGGGACAGACAGCATATGTGGCCAGCAAAGCTTAACCTATTACCATCTAGTTCTTCACAAAAAAAGTTTGTTGACACCATCACATTGGGGGTTTCTACATATGAATTTTGGGGGGACAAATATTGAGCCCATACCAGTGTACACACACACACACACACACACACACACTCTTATTAAAAAGGATTTCATATTCTTCAGAAATGTATAGAGGATGCTATAATCCCTTTTATTTGCTATTAACAATTTGAGGTTAGAGATCTTATTAGGAAAATGATCATGTTGCAAACCATATTTATGCATTAACTTGTGAAGAATTCTGAACATTTTGAGGTAATGGATTTAGAAAAGAGAATTGTTGATGAAACAGTATAAAGACAGTCATTTGCCACATATACATGAAAGGATTCATTTGTATGCACAAAATTCTAGTTCCGTTCAGAGTCTGAGCTAGTTCATTTAATTACTCTGTTTTAACTGTCTTGTTTTTATGGTTCACCCATAAGATCTGCCTGTTGTTAAACAACGTTTCAGGTTGCTCAGAGACGTAGTAAGTAAAGGTTAAAGCTTTACCCTCTAATTTCAACTACTTTTAATGGTTTGAAAGGTACGTGCATATCTGTTATGTGTTATTAAAACTACAGAAAACATTCTTTAACTTTTAGTAACTTCTTTTGTCTACAGACATTAAAATGCATGCTGTGGTGAAAAAGCTACGCTTAATAGACAAGATAATTGAGTATTTAAATGAATGTGTGGGTCAGGATGGTGAGGTAAGACTACTGCATATCTAGATGTATATTTTTATTTTTGTATTTTTAATATATCTTTATTGATTTCAGAGAGAGGAAGAGAGAGGGAGAGAGAGAAACATCAGTAATGAGAGAGAGTCATTGACCGGTTGCCTCCTGCATGCCCCCTACTGGGGATTGAGCCCACAACCTCGAGCATGTGTCCTGACTGAGAATCGAACCTTAATCTCTTGGATCAAAGGTTAATGCTCAACTGCTGAGCCAAGCCAGCCAGGCTCTAGACGTATTTTTATGTATTGGTGATTAATCAGATCTGAAAGTGAATTCAGCTGGATCTGCATAAGACCTTGGAGTTTAAGTTCTACTACCCACTACCTTGCTCATTTGTTTGTTTGTTTATTTCTAAGAGTGGGGTCTCTATAAAGAAAAGCTGATCTTAAAATTTCTATGTGATGTGTGAGCACCAGTATGTCCAGATCTTGTTTTCAGGGGAAAATAATTCTTAATATGTATTTGCAGTTTTGTTTCACACAATTTTGTTAAAACTTAAAATTTAGAATGAGATCATAATAAGAATACAATGAGGTACTGTTGAAGTCTATTTTATGTCACCTTAAAATTGACAAACGTAGAGTAACTGTGTTTCCCTCCTGGGCAGCTGATAGAATGTCTGATCCAGCCGAGCCTCACGCTCCTGAGGAAGGTTCTCTGTGGGGACCCAGGGGCCCGTGTCTCCCTCGCCCAGCAGGCTTCTCTCCTGACCCTGCTGTTCAGAGGTGAGTAAAACACATTCTGCTAATGTCCAGATCAGTCTTAAGCTTTAAGTGTTGCTGTTTAGCTGTAGGAAACATTTACTTTTCATTTTACTTACAGAATAGAAAACTTTTAATCACTAAAACCCATCACAATAGAAAGTGTTTAGTACTTTTGTGGAAGCCTCCTGGTAACCCTGTTACTGAGCAGACCTTGGGGCTGAGCAGAGCTGAAGAGCCTCTCGTGTCTGCCCGGGGGTGGAGCCGCCCTTTGGTGCTCTGACAGTGGCCACTGCACTGCAGCCTCCTTCCCAGCATCTGGTTCCTCAGCCTTGCTGTTTATGCCGTTACAGCCACACCTTTGGTGTGATATCTGCTTATGTCGTTCAACGGGCTTTGGGAGTGGTTTGTAGTGGACAAGACACACAAAGCAAAGCAACACCAGCACAAGTACAGCCTTGTGTTTGAAAGTCAAGGCCAAGTTCTGTGATTGTCTGTTTCTAGGAAAGGGCAGATATTAAAGAGATTTTTCGCTGAGCAAACTTTAGCCAGATAGATGCTGGATCTGTTTGCTTCTGTTGCACTGAAGGTGGATGGTGTCCAGCGAGTGGGTGGTGGGTGGTTCCTGTGCAGCTGCGTCCGCATCCGGGAGCCACAGGCTCCTCCCACGCCCACCAAGCGGACACCGTTCTCGCGCATACATTGTAGGTTTAAGGGCCACCGTGGTTGTGATGTCAGTTTATCTGGTCAGCATTGTGTTTCTCTGAGAATGACATTGCGTCCCTTCAAGTTAAGATATTTTAAATTTGAAGTTCATTGTTTCTAACATTTCCTCATGTTCTGCTGCTTCCCTTTATTTCTCAGTTTCCTTGATATTTCACGAAGATTGTACCGTCGTGACCGAAGTCGGAGCGCTGTTTTGTCTCCTGTTATTTGATGAAGTGTCGAGAATGGATGTGTGGTGAGCTCAGGATCCTAAAGTGTTTACTCACAGTTACTTACCTGAGGTTTCTGATGCTGTCTTATAGCAGCCCGTGGAAACTTGTACTTGCGAGGCTTAAGCTGTCCATGGTCGATTCACCACGGGTGACTTGGGGTTTGAGTAACCACCATTAAATTTCAGCCCGTTTGCTCATAAAGTCATCCTGAACTTTTTTTGTGAACATTATGAAGTACAAAATTTAAAATCACTGCAGTAATTTTTGTCAGTAATGCTTTTTTCAGTGTATACTCTCAACTTTGCATGTTTCCTTTAATATTTTATTTAAAAAAGAAACTTGTAGGAAGATGTTTAGGATGCTAGTATCTGTTTACCACTGACTTTGGGCAGGGTCAGCAGGAGGGGGCACAGACCCTCACGATAGGAATCATTTGTCATACTGACTTCCTGCAGAAAAGCAGGATTTATGCTTTATGAGCAAACCCAGCGGCTTGTGGGTTTGTTAGAGCCACACTGACAGACCCTGTTGAGCCCGCTCTCCAGTTGGCCGGGAAGCGAGCTGGACTGCTGGACTGTTGGACTGTTGGACTGCTGGACGAGGCAAGGTCCACTCAACCCTCTTTTCTCTTGTGTTTCCTTCACGATCCAGGTCTGTTAATCCTCCCAGTCAACTTGCCTCGCCATCAGTCTTCAGTTTGCCGGTGTCCGTGTTCAGGAGGTAAAGCATTGCTTTCTTTGTTGTTGTTGGAGGAAAACTGTCATCACAGAAACGGACACCAGAGTCTGTAGTCTGTCACAGTGTTCGTCTAATGTTTAAACCACACGACTCACAGTGTTCCAGTGTTCTCTCCACTGTGGTGCTTGGAGAGGCCAGCAGGTGTGTCCGTCCACAGAGAAGGCGGAAGAACTGGGCAGTGCACGCTAGCATCCCTCCAGCCAAGATATGGCATTTGTTAGCCCATGGGCCTCTTCCTTTCTCTTCCCCTCTCTCTCTCACATATTTATTTATATGTAATTTTTCCCTTCTAACCCATTTGAAAATAAGCTTCAGCCATACTTCTACTTCCTTCCTGATTATTTTAGTATATGCCTCCTTAAATCTTAAAAATTAAGGACATTTTCCTACATGACCACTGAACATACAACATAAACAAAATATACAAATCATAAGAGTATTGTTGATAAATTTTTCCAAATATGCCCCTATAAGTACCATGTGAATTAAGATATGAAATACTGGCACATGCCAGGAAACCCTTTCATGGGTCTTCATTACTTTCTGCCACCCACAGAGGTAAGTCTGTCTTAATTTCTGTTACTATATGTTATTTTTGCTGGTTTTACACTTAGTAAATAGAGTATATTCTTACGTTCAGCTTCTGTTTCCCCACATGGAGAAATCTGCCTGCCAGGCATGTCTTTTGCTCTGTGCGATCCATTGTAAGCGTGTACAGCAGTGTATTTACTGTTCTGTCGTCAGTGGGCACGTGCTTTGAACACGTGGGTCAGAGGGTATTTATATGTTTAGTAGATGCTTCCAGATGGTATCCCCTGTGGCTGTGGTAGTTTCCGTTCCCAGCAGCAGCATGATTACCAGCTGCTCCGCACCCTCACCAGCCCTGGTATTTGCAGCACCCACTCTTTATTTCTTTTCTTTTTTTAAAATTTATCTTTATTGTTGAAAATATATGAGAATGTTCATAGCAGCTTTACTTGTAGTAGCCAAGTGTCTAACAATAGGAAGGACTGACGGGGAACACTAGACACCTTCCGAGACTACTCTTCACAGGACAGCAGGAGTCTCGTAGACGTACTGCTGAGTGAAAGCAACCACACCAGGGCATGTGCTGTAGATTCTGTTTCCTTAAAGTGCTTCAGCACATCAACTTGGTCTGTGGTGAGAGAAGTCAGAACAGTAGTTAACCTCTTGGAAGAGGGTAAGGAGAGTAAATAATTGACAAGAAAAGGTGAAAAAGAAACTTTCTGAGGATGGAAGCGTTCTCTATGTTATTCTGGGTGGTGGTTACATATGAACACGTACATAAAATTCATCAGCAGTACACTTAAAATCTGTATTTTAAAGATAAGTAAATATAGCTTAACAAAATTGATTAATTTAAAAATAACATTTCATAGCTTGGTAGATACATGTAGCCTAATCGTTGTCACTGTTGTATAATATTCTCTTGTTAGATTATAGCACAGTATGTTCATTTTCCTGTCAGAGGGTATTTGGGCTGATCCTGTGTTTTTGCTGGTATATAGACTCCTGTGAATATGATTGTATATGTCTCCTGATATATGTGTACAAGAGTTCCTCTTGGATGCATTCTTAGGACTGGAATTTCTTGATTATAGACATCACCCACTCTTCATGATTTCGGGTTTGGCTAAATAATAAAACTCACACAACTATAGTAGTTCATGCTTGGGATGAGATGATGTGTGGGTGCTGGGCACTATCTTGGCATAGAAGCACCGTGTCCCACTAGAAAAGACAATCTAGTTAGTGTGCCCAGGCCTTGTCTCCAGGTCCCGGATCCTGTCAGCTTAGTCCTGTGAGTCTTTTACTACTTTCTTGTTTTCTGGCACAAGGAGGATTCCAAGGTTCACCTTTGATTTCCTGGTCTCAGACCTAGCATTAGCCACTTCTCTGAGGAGCCCTGGTTACTTCTGTGGAAAATTCCAATTTTTAAAAAGCATTATTTCTACTTAAATTATCAGCCTGATTTCTGTATAGAACTCTACCTTAGCCTCTTTTATTGAGGTGCATGAAGTGAAAAAGTACAAAAATTCCCTTTGGAAATCCTACCAATTGTATTCATCTCACATTAGTCACAGATACATGAATTCGGGGTTTGGGATATGTTTTATTAGCAAAATTACTCTTTTACATATGAACATCTAGACATTGCTGTCCTGCTAAACATTGTTAAGTGGACTTTGATTGGTTTAAGAGATAAGGCTATGAATGTGTTCTTAGATCTAAAAATATTTCTGGGTTCTCTTGGTGACACACAGTGATTAAGTTTATTGTTGATGCAACTATGTTCTCAAGTGAGAATATGCTGTGATTCTGTCGCTTAGTGGCCGTGGTGAAGACTCACTTTGCTTATCTGTAAAGAGTGTATCACATCGCCATGCATATCACTGAATAAATGGTAGACAACATACAGTGTTTGGCATAAAGTAGGCAGTCACAGCTGTGGACCTTTTATGTGGTTCACGGGAGCCCAGGGCTGGTTTCAAGGGGCATTAGTCATCTCTGCAAACAGCGTGGATGCAACACGGACTGTGGTGAGTCCTCGGGGAAGAGCTTGATACAGTGGTTTGGGGAGGTTGAAGGAGGTAAAAGAATAACTGGAAGCTGAGCCCTGGATCGCTGTGGAGTGGGAGGGAGTCTCAGAACTAGCCCTCGTTTGCGGCTTGTCCTTTTGAGTAGCATTTTAACAATCTGTGATCCTTGGTCTGCATTTTCTTCAGGTATCACCTGCCGGTACACGTAGTTGGCCACCATGCTGTGAGCCCTTACTCCATGGTGCTGCCATTATCTGCTGATTGTTTGGCCTTGAAGCCAGTCTCAGATATGCTGAGAATAGCTTGGAACCTGTCGTGGTATCGAGGGACTGATAATCTGTTGCAGCAAGTGAAATCCGAGATGAAAGTCCAAGAGTAAGCCGTTAAGTTTACCTAATCAGTTAGTTTTTTTACTTATTGTCATTTGCTTCTGCTTTTGCACTGAAGATTATAAGTTTTACTTTGTTTTAAAGATTACATGTGCTCATTACTTTTTAAAAACTATCACACAACGGAATTAAATTAGAAAATAAAAAGCACCTATGCTATTTTAGAGGTCATACTGGATGTGGTTAGTGAACTGATGGAACTCACTAGGAAAAGTGCTTTGGTGAGAGTGAAAGGTGAGTAAGTGCAAGTCAGAGTTACCACGGCTGTGGTGATGGGATTGCTTCTGAGTAGTATCTCAGTGTTCTCATGCCTCAGAACTCTTATTTGAGCGAAAGTTACTCTGGTTGGGTAAGCAGGAAAGTGTCGATGTAAATGCTTAGGGTTAGGATGCGATTGTAAAAGCCCAGTGTTGGCAGATACAAACCAGGCTTTCTTTGGGCTGTGAGTCACCTTTAATTAAAAGAAAATGAAGATAAAACAAATTTTGGGGTAAAAGTTTATAATAAAAGTGATCTTTTATTTAATAGCTTTGTGTCACTCTTTTTTTCAATTTGTTTAGATTTTTAGACACACTGAAGTTATCCTCAGAGGACACCCTCACTCTGAAGGTGACACACACAGCCAGTGGCCTGCAGCACTGTCTCCAGGCCATTGTGCAGGCTGCTGCCCACCGGGAAGTGAGGGCCGCTGTCACCAGCATGAACTTTTACTTTCTGAATGACAGATTGTCCTTCAAGGGGGGCACAGGCCCATGCAGGGCTGCCTTGAAGTCCTTGGCCTGGCACACCGCGCTGAACAGGTCAGTGTGCTCAGGTCTGCCCTTTCAGAGGCCTGGGCTGAGTGTGTTTGGTTCATTGCCACACCTTTGTGTTCTTACTGCTGCTGTTATGAGAGAAATGCTTTCACAGAAAGAAAAACCTCAGGATTTCTATCACATGCAATAAATATAACAGCAAAAGAGAAAAATTTAATCACTGCATTTTAGAAGGAATTATTAATAAACGTAACAGTTTTTAAAATATTCTTATTATGGGCAGTTTTGTTACCTTATAAAAGTAAATGACTAGGTTGAGACGTGAATGAACAAACTGCATGTTTATTCCTGTTTATATCATAAATGACTCAGGACATCAGTGGGTTGATTGACAGGTTTGGTTCCCTTGTAGCAGGCTGTTTTATTGTGTTTTGCTCTTGTTTTTTCCATAAGTATATGATCCATTTTTCTTTTTACTGTGGGTTTCATGAAGCTTACTGCCCAATGCGGAGGCCCATCAGCAGCTGTTGGGAAGGCTCTGGCTCTCAGCGTAATGGTTTAACTGGCAGCAGGTGGTTGCTGCACTTGAGACCAGCAAGACTGACGAGCAGGGCTTGGCAGCAGTTTTACATTTGAGCCCTCATGTGGCTCTAGTAGAAAGTGGATAACTTTCTCGTTAAGCATGAATCTTGCTAACTCCTTTACTTGGGTCAGCTCTCACAATTCAGACATCTGATCATGCTTTTCTGGGCTCTGCTGGAGCCCCAGTGCTGCCTTGTAAGAGTTGATGCGTATATTGTCATGAGTTTTGCAAGTTGATTTAAACAGAGCCACTCTTTAATATTAAATTATGTAAACTTAGTTAAATAAATTATATGAAAATAAACGTAATGATTATGCAAAAGTTACTACTTCCTAATTATTTTACAACACTTTACTATTATCTGTGCTCAAGTTTATTTGTACCTGTTACATCTGTGTTTTAGAAATGCTACTGTGCATCTCCACAGCTGTGTCACTGGTGGCTTGCAGCTGGCCATGGGGGTATTTACACTATGGAAATGGGCAAACACAACAAATCAGTGGGCTACTTTTCAGCTGGTTGTTAAATATTTATCCACACACCACTTTAACAGCTAGAAACCATAGTTATTGTCTTCTTTATCATAGGTTTTTACAAGTGCTTCCTGCTTGCACTGAAGATGAGAAACTGCTAATAGATATCATACATTTTTTAAATAAGTTATTGAAGGAACAAAGAAAAAATTCATCAGTGGAACTTCTAAACTGGCTTCTAGAATTACTTCTTAGACCTGTAAGTGTTGTTAAGGAATTCGGGTTTTAGGTTCGACAAGTGATTTATTTGAAAATCATTAATACTACATCATGGAAAAGTAAAATACTTATACAGCCTGTGTGTGCTAAGTAAAGTGCTCCTCGTTGTAATAGAGGATGCATAGCAATGTGGCCATCTCCGTGTGGTTGTGACCAGGTGAATGAAATCAAAAATCTACGGAGGAATGGGACCTTGCTATTTACAAAACCTGTTCTCTGTGAGCTTTCTGCTGCAGCTGTATTTTAAAGTGGGGATCTTG